AAGGAAGAGGAGGAGAAGAAGGAAGAGGAAGACGAGAAGGAAGAGGAGAAGAAGGAAGACGAGAAGGAAGAGGAGGAGAAGAAGGAAGAGGAAGACGAGAAGGAAGAGGAGAAGAAGGAAGACGAGAAGGAAGAGGAGAAGAAGGAAGAGGAGGAAGAGGAGGAGGAAGAGGAGGATGAAGCGGGGGAGGAAGAGGAGGAGAAAGAGGAGGAAAAGGAAGAAGAGGAAGAAGAGAAGGAAGAGGAAGAGGACGAGAGGAGGAGGAAGTGGAGGAAGAGGAAGAGGGGAGGGAGGAAGAGAAGGAAGAGGAGAGGGAGGACAAACAAGAAATCATTCGGCTAGAAAAACTAGTAGCAAGCGAACCATTCGAAAGCATCTAGGTACTTAGACGCTATTTTCCTCGTCCATACCCTCTCTGCCGTCTCTCGTTTTTCTCTCCTCTCGTTTTTCTCTCCTTTCTTCTCGCTCCCTTTTTTTTTCCGGCACCTCCCCCATCTGCCCTCCTGCCATCCCTTCTTTGCCACCTTCTTTCCCATAGCCATTTTCCCCCCCCTGCGCTCATCAGTCCTTGCGCGCTACGCACTATATCTCGCGTTGGTTTATTATCGCCGTTATTGCCCTGTGTCGAGTTGGTTGGGATGTTTACTGGATCCCCACTATCATTCTCTCCTCTCTTTTTCAGAAAGACAAAGGAGAACCGTTCGGGAATATATTTACAAGTGAAGAGGAGTTCCACGAATGATCGAGGGTGCATTCACACTAGGACGTATCTGCCCGTCAATTATAGCTAGATACTGTCGAATAACTCCCCTGCTGTGAGTGTGCCCGTTAACTTTCCTGGACGTACCTGACGGCAAATTATGACTTTCCTGGACGTACCTGACGGCAAATTATGGCCAGATACTGTCAGTGTTCCTATTAGTGTCGAACGATTCTCTTGTCCCTTTTTCACCATATTACGTACCAACTGCTTCGCTCATTAACTCAAATCCGTCGAGGATAAGAATTAAACTGATAATAAAATAATTTGCAATTACTTTATTTCTTTTTTTTCGTAAAAAAGTACGAACAACCGATTCTCAGCTGCGAGTACTTTTACAAAAAAAAAAAAAAAAAAAAAAAAGAAGAAGAAAAAGAAAAGAAAAGGCTGTGAGGTGGAGGAAGCGCGCACCAAAAATTCCAATAAGATAGGAGATCGGCTACCCGTCTTCACCGGAATAAATGTACTTGGGACAACTTTTGAGTCTAGATACATCAATAATCACCGTACTTTGTATGCCGGTGAAGACGGGTAGATGCATCGATCCCAAGTTCAGCAGAGTTTATCGATCGCCTTCGTGATTTGCCTGTTTTCGGTGATTGATCGACTGATTGATTAATTGATTACGATGTTTAGCGATTGATTGATTGATTGATGACTGTATTGACTGACTGATTGATTAATTAACCGATTGGCTGGCTAATCAACGGATTCATTCAGTCGATTGATTGATTGATTGATTAACGTATTGACTGACTGATTGATTGAATAACTGATTGGCTGACTAATCAACGGATTCATTCACAAATCCACTGATTGATTGATCGCTTATCTGACTGATTCATTCATTCATTCATTCATTTAATTGACAACTTAATTAATTAATTGATTGATTGATTGATTAGTTAACTGTTCAACTGATTGATCCACGAAATGAGGGGGGGGAGGG